GGAAATTTAATAACGGCCGAATCTGATTTCCGGCTCGCGTTCAAGGCCTCGTTCCTTTATCTGCTACGATTTCTCGATAATCGCGAGACTCGTGGAAAATCATCGTACAATTAATGGAATCCTTTATGCTCGCGGAGCAATGGAAATTAGTTTGCACAGGTATCGGCCCGTAACGAGCTAGCGTTGACTTAGGACGGACGGAAACTGGGTAAAGTTTCCCGGGAGTCAAGCGATCGTCTGCTATCGAAAGACGCCACAGGGCGAAGATTCGCGTAGCCTAGATTGATTATTAAGAGGGAAGGGGCAGTGGCGAGGTAGCGAGGGAAACCCTTTCCCGATAGCTTTCATGTTTTCACAGGTGCAGCAACAACGGAGGGTGCGGTGCGACGAGGTTAGGCAAGTTCGGCGCCGTAGCTACTTAAGCCTTGACTGTGAAACGCGTGCAGCCCACGTGCACCGGTAGCTCGAACCTCGTGAAAAGTTAATTTTGTTTGGTTTCCCTCGCTTTTCCAGAGATATTACCAGACGTTCGTTAAGCTGCGCCCTACCGGTTTCCTCATCCTTCGAGGCAGCTAGCTGCCGCTGTTCGCTCTCACCCCGTTGTCTCTCCGCGCGAGTCTAATTAATTAAAAAACTTGAAGCCGCGCGTGCAAACTTGCTGGACGGGGATGAAAATTGATCGGTTAACGCGTTGCTTTCGCGCCGAGGAGACAAGAGCCGGGAGCTGGCTCATCGTTAAATCAGCTGACAACTTTGCTCTTTGGTAAACGGCAGACGCTGAACACGACGGCGACGCTGCAAATTTTATTTCCCTAATTTCGGACCGAAGAGGACAGGGAAGACACGAACGGTAACGACAACAGCTGCTCCAATTCGCGACGAGCAAAAGCCCAGGCACGTAACCGGGCACGCTACGTACCTAACATATGCATGCGCTCGCTATGTATGCACGTGTGTACGTGTATTCGGAATACGGGGCCAACGTGCGCGGGACACATCGTTGGCCCTGATGAAAAATCGAAAAGAAGCCGCGCGTTCACGAGGCCGCAACGTCCTACATTACTGGCGAGAATGCAGAAGAGTCGGCTTTAAGTGAGCGGTGAACCACATGTTCCGGAGCACCTCGTTTCAAAGGACGTGTGGATGGGCCCGCCCCTTCCTGGCACTCCGCTTCGTCCCGTCCGCGCCAATGGAAATGAACGAGGATAAAACGAGAAATATTTTACCCCGGGGAGTACAGCTACTGGACACGGATAAAGTAGTAACGTTTAAAGCTTGAAAGAAGTATGTATTTCTCCTATATGTCCGTCGGAATTTTTAAGATCAATTCGTACTTTGCTCCGTGTCCTCTATTTCAAACCTATCCAAAACCACGATCTCGAGAGGTTCCTAGTTTCCCAGGCGAACTATTCGCCGGACTAAACCGCGACCGACGCGTAAGTATCAAATCCAACAAATCCTACGGCGTGTTGCGAGTTGGAGAGTCGCCAGTTAATATAGTTTCTCCGACAATAAATTACTGACGCGGGCAAAAAGTAGCCGCATGCATACCGGGACCTGAACCAGCCCAGTTCATCCATCGGAGCAAATACGTTTATACAAACATTATATATTATATTAGATCTACATATGTACGTACGATGTTCATACGTAACGGGTGTGAGATGAAACATTTATATCGATTGTTTATTGCAAAAACTTTCTCTTCCTCCTAGCGAAAAGTAATTCAGAAAAAAGTTGTAGCTTCAGCTGTGATCATTATCTATTACCTATCAACCCAAACTCGTCGGTATCGACTTCCTCGGTGCCGATTACCTCCGAAAAGAGCGATTACCGACTGTTTTGACCCCCATTGACCCCCATTTGCTGTCCCAACGATTACACGGGCACTGCCACTTTTTAGTAGTCTCCTCGGAAGTGCATGATTGGTAGCTGTTTTATAATTGTTACGTCTTTTTCGACGATAGATCGTGGCAGAACAGCGGCAGGTACTTACTAGGGTCGCGTGTTAAGGCAACCCGACTGCTATGTAAATCGCGACAGTTACACGAGTACAGTGGTACAAGCGAGGACCAGAATATTTTGTCGTCGATGTTCCAGCCGTAGTAAAGAACGAAACGCGACACCGACAGTTCCGAAAAGTTTCTATTCAATATGGCATTGTTTTAGCGAAGCACTTGGCACGTAGGACATAAGCCAACTTTACGGGTTTCGCGTTTGAAAAATACTACCGTAATCTGATAGAGACAGTTCCTGTCACTGGTGGACAAGAACAATCATTTCCGAGAAACCTTTTTACACTCGCAGGTTTTCTCGGTAGTTTCGCACGTAGATAAGACACACTTTTGAACCGTCCGATTGTCCGATGACGAGGAGTGAGTTTTCCGATAAAACGCGTCACTATTTCATAACTAACGGGTAGCGGCGATATCCGGTGCTTCCGGAACCGCGGAAGCGTGTCATCGATCAAACATCCATCGATTTTAATCGCGGCATAGTTCAATTTCACGGACACCCGATCACGCCCGGCTTTACTCGCCCCCTCGCGCATTTAATCTACCGTGACTGCTCGCAAGTCCCGAAATATCGTCTCCGTTATAAAATTTGATTTGTTTCGCGAGCCGCGCGGTTTGTTCGCCGATTAACGGTTCATCGATGATCCGACAGGTTCCCTCGTCTTCGCACGTTCCGCTAAAAATTAATCCTCTTTTACGGCAACTCGGGACACACCCGTGACCAATTCACCGCGGCTTTTACGACACTTTTTGTTCCACTCGGATATTTTGTCGTTTACGAGCATGGCGACGCGAGACCACTATTAAACGTTTTCACGCATCAATTCGCTCTCCGGTAATCGCTATTTTATCCATTTCTCCGTCCGCGAATTAGCATTGAACGTCTAGCATTTTAACTCTGTTGCGGTGACGATTTCGGGACCAACAGAAAAGCGCGAACGAATTTATGATTGACCTCGCAATTCGCGTGCAGTTGACCAGAGTGCCACGAATTGTTCGATAGTTATTTACATAAATGACGAAAATTTATTTGTTTCAGTTTATTTCGTTGCAATATCCGGTTTCGGATTGGACCGACGTTTCAGGATTCGGCAAACAAAGAGAGAGAGAACGAGAGAGAGAGAGAGAGAGAGAGAGGGAGAGAGAGGAAGGGAGGGACAGCGAGAAAGCGCGGCTTCGTTTCGGTTTACAATTCAATTCAGTGCGTCACGACACCTGATAAAACGTTCCTACGTTTATTACGGTCAATTTTATATGTATGTTTATCCACGAAACATCAATTCGTGCGCCATTGCATGCACCGCGACGTCCATTATTCATACGCTTTTATCCCCTTTTTCGCGTTTCACTCTGTCACCTAATCCCCGGCCAAATCCGACTAATAGTCTCCTAACGAGTAGTCATATGTTTCGCGTATCCGTCTAACGGAGCTATTAAAATACTAATGAACCCTGTGCCGAGAAATGAATGGAACAGTCTGGTTCGGAAATCGTTAAACGATCTGTTCCACGCGACTCGTGTTCGATCGCGTTGTAAACTTTGCTGGAAATCTTCATAGATACTATGTGCGCAGAGGGATCGTGCACACGCATCGGTAGCACGCTCGTTTTATCCCCCGGTCTGCTCGACTTTTATAGACTTCCGCAGTCTTTATTTCGTCGTCGAGGATGCAGCTTTGATGTCTTTACGAGGCAGCGTCGTTCACCGAAATAAACACAACCAAAGAACATACGAGGACGTATATCTCCGACTACGATCGCGACCATTTCGCGATTATTTCCATCTTTTAGATCTTCGCTACGGATCCTTTCTATCCCGGAAATGGATACGTGCTTCGAATAAAGTGAATATTTATAAACAAAAAACGTGGCATTAGCATCAGGCATCGCGCGATAAAATGTTACGGGCTAGTATCCGAAAGTACACAGAGACTAAACGCTCTCCTATCGATTAGGAATCTCGTTGGCAAGTGATAAAACTCTAACTGTTCTGTAAATGCGGTCATAACGGAAGCCACGAAAACTAGTAACCCGGTGGCGAGATTGAGCTCGACCTCGGGAAGCCTCGATAAGCGAACTTAACGAGATCGGCGAAGTGTAACGCGAGTAAATCGGCTTTCATTAGAATCCTGTGATATTGCACCAAAAGAATTTTCAATTCATCCTTGAACTTTGCCGAAACGATAAATCGACACACCTATCCTCCCTCGACCAGAAATACAAACATAGACGTAATGCATAGTTCTCTACGGACTGGGATTTTTTAAATTTCCCCGGGGATACGGGCAGGGAAACGCGATAGATTCTGGCAAAAACGTACCGTCTCGGACTGATTGAGTATTGCTTTAACCATTGGCTGCGAGTCGGCACCGAAAAACATCCAGCTGGATACAGTCGAGGAAAACGTGAAATGGCCAATACAATATGCCGTACTAAAAGGGAAAAGCGCGTAGGCTCGCTCTCTCTTTTATTTACAAGTGCTGTAAAATACGCGACACCGATACTAAGAACACAGCAAGTAATTTTATAGAAACCGTGAAGACGCTTCCTCACTTGATGTATAAAATAAAAAAGAATTGTAATCAAACGTTACTCACCGATTCCTTTAAGAAATATTCGCGATGCTACTAGGTAATAAACATTTTTAAATCGAACTCTTTTACATATCCGCGTAAGTGGTATCGCAGAGTGTTTCTATTCCAGAAAGGAAACGTTACCGAACAGAAACGCTTCGGTGCCTCTATACAAGCGAAAATAACCACTAAAACGAAACAATAACTTCGAAGCCCGTAGCGCTTCCGAACCTGTTTCGCAAAACTGAACCGCTAAGAAAACATTTCATGGCCGTTTCACGGCGCAATTCGCCGCGAGCATAAACGCGAGCACTCGGCGAGCCACTCGATAACAGGTGCATATCCGATGCCCGCGCGTGGCCACGCAAAATGTGCCGATGAAAATGCTATTATAATATATATACTGTACATACCTTCGGTGTCTCGCGATCATCTTCGGCGACTCTCAAACAGCATCGCTTCCACGATGTCTGCAACCCTCCCAGTCGGAATGAAAGGAATTCTGAAAGAATAAAAAGGAGATACGGATTGAAGTTTGTCGAGAGTTTCTCAACGATTATGGGTAGAAAACTTCGCGACGCAAATTCGCTGCAACGGCGTGAACTGCATCTCGTTCCCAGGATGATGCTGCTGCTACATTCGCGTATTGCGTATTCCGAACGGAGGACAGAGGCACGCACTTCTGCTGATGTGTTCTGTCGAGCACTCGAGAAATGCTTCTGCTGTTACGCAACGATAAGAGATTCGAGGAATGCGGGCGATATTAATTAGCGTCAGGATCTTAGAAACCTTATGCGTAATAAATTCCAATAAAAACTGTCCCAGTTGGCAATCGAAACGGTCGAAAGTTAACAGAGGCGAAAGTGACCGAGAGCTATAGGGACGCGAATTAAAAGGCAGTATTTCAAGAGAGCGGAACGGACTCGATACCGCGGTCCGATGGAATATAGAATATAGAGGAATCGCGATCCGCGGTAACGATAACACGAGTCACGAGCGAGCGTAAATCTAGAAACGACGAATATAGTACGCATTATCATTGCACGGCAATCGATCGGCTTCCGGAAATCGGCGTCGCTTGAAAACCGGCGCTCTATATTTATCGCGAGAAACAATCTGTTCATTAGATTAAACGCGAAGTGATCGATCGATTAGATAGCAGGTGAAATGATTCGATGTTGCAGTAAATTTCCCGTGCGATCTTGGCTCCGAATTTTCTCGCTGCTTGATAAATTATTCGATGCCTAATCAATAATCGGCACGCGCCGCTTATCTCCCGATCTAGAGAGCGAACCGAAAGTCATTGCCTCATCGCTCAATGAATTAAGCCCTCTGGTAGGTTCGACCAGCTCCAATCAGGAATTCGTCGACGATTCTGTTTCTCTCGATGAAAAGGGTTGAATTTCTCGGATCAGAGAAGGGTGTACAGTCCAAGCGAGGACTACGAGCGGAAACGGGTCCAGCTTACAGGGTAATTATTTTTTCAACTGGACGGAAAGGGCGGAGACGCGAGGGTAAGGGTGCGCACCGCGGGGGTCTAGGCTCGGTCCAAGGGAGCAAGGGTGAAGATAGGCGGGAAAAGGTTGAATGCACTCTACTTTACTCCGTCTCTGTGTAAATACGGTTCGTCTGTGTCGCGTACGTTGCGTAGAAACGCGCGCACGCGTGTATGTATGTATGTATGTATGTATGTATGTATGCAGACGTCTGTACACGATCCGGCGGACAGCGAGAAAGCGAGCTCTTACGCGGGACACAGCTGGTTTCAAGCGGTGAAAGCAAAAGAGTACATGAAAGAAACGTTAATTACTGCATTACTGGCTGGCGAACCGTGAAATGTACTAGAGCTTGCGGCGTCGTTCTAGCACTACTAGGCTGTAACGCGAGGGTAAACGCGAAACAAAGTCCTGCCCGGCCACCGGAGATGCGTCGGAATAATACGCCACGGCTGGCCGGCTGGCTCAACGAGGAATTAAGGGTAAACGAATTACTCATAGACCGTCGAACGCGCGGACCCGCGCGTCGTCGACGTCGCGCGCCGCGGCAAATTGCTCCGTTTCTGTTTGCCTTCCCCATCGCTGCCAGCTACCGTCCTCGGCCTGCCCGAGACAATGGGGCATGTCTACTCGTTACGTACACTCCTTCTTCCGGCACAACTTTTCGATCGATCACTGTTTACACCGATTCAAGGGGCTCCTGCATTCCCGGCTGCGACGTTTACATTTCGCATTTCCTTTGATCCAGCCCCGTTCGGCGGGATAAAAAACTGATTACTCGGCAGCGACGACGATATTATTCTTTACTCGTCTAATAACTTCCCTTTACGAGAGAACGAGAACGCTCGTTGCGGCGCGAATCTTCACTGACGACGGCCTCAGCATAAAAAGGCCGGTTCGCTCCTAAGTTCCCGTTCATTTTGGTTAACGTTAGGGCTGAATTCCCGTAAAACATGTGGGATACCGCGCAGGTCCAGCAATAAAGGCGAGTTTAATAACTTTTTGTTTGCCAACGCGGCGAGGCGAGGCGAGGCCACCGGTGGACGATCTCATCGGTACTTGAAATTCCTTTTTTTTCAACGAGGAAAAAGTGAGACGGCAGGGGAACGGGGCGATGTAATTTGAGTCTCGATGTTTGACCAATTCTCGAACAACGGACAAAGTACTATAATAACGCGGAAAGAAGATCGACCGTCTTCCTTCCCTTCGAAGAAGCCACGGTGCGAGCATAGACTATGAAGCGGTATTAAATTGATACAGTGACTTATTTTTATTTGCCCGGGAAAACTTCGCCGCCGAATTAATTCAAATCTATGGCTCCGCCCTGTGCGTATTATAAAAGTTCTTCCACGAGCAAACTCACCCGGACGCGCACCCTTCGCTGCTTCTCCCGCTCGTCCTCCTCTTACTCCTCTTTCGATCCTCGGTCCCTCTTCAGTCCCCTCTCCCTCCCGCGCGTCTGTCCCATCTGTACCCGTGCACCGTACGCGTAAACACGCGCGCGAGGGTGCCTCATAAAGTCGGACTTTTTGTATTCACGCGCGTACGTGACTGCAACTTTCAACACACTCGTAGAAGGCAGGGGGGGGGGGTTAAGTATGTACGAGGTTTTCCCGGGACGTTTCTTGCACGCATCAGAACGCAACTTTTTCATAAACGTGCTCGCGCGTCGAGAAAGCACGGTTTCATTTATTTATTCAACCATTCCCGTTTCTACCCGACGAAACCGAACCAAATCGAGTCAATCGTTTAATGTTTAATGAACAAAAGCGCGGATTTCCCGCAGGGAGCAGGAAAGTTGGACGAATTGCTAGATTTCCGAGCAGCAGGGATAAGTTTTTCCTCGAGAAATATTCTCCCCATCGTAGAGGCGAGCCAGAACGGAAACGGATGTAAAGATACCGCCCTCGAATACCGGATGGCTTCGGTCGAAAAAAAGAAAAGGAGAAGCCTCGTTGGAAATACAATCACGCAGAGTAGTAGTAGCGCTCGACCGAGGGTAACGAGCAGCAACGATTTATACGATCGGGAAAGATATACTATTAACGAAGATACGACCGCATAATTTTCTCGATGAAGTATGTGCGTTTCTCGAATTTAGAACGCCGACTCGACTGCGTAAAAACAATTTGTCCTTCGTCGGTAACGATATTCGTGTCTCGAAATTCGTCGAGGATCCTCTTCCTGGTTTTTCCTCTCCGATACGGGTAAACGACAGCGAGATATATGGCGCGAACTGTCGGCTGTTCGCTCCGCACCGTTTAGAGTTCAGAGCATTATTTTCCCACGAAAGAATCTACGCCATGCGACTGGCGTCACCTGAATTTATTTTCATATGCGAAAAACTGTACCTAGCAGGAATATAGACCGCGCGCACACGGATTTCCGCAGGTCGAGGCTCGATTAATCGATTAATAAAGTCCGGCTGCAGAGATAACAGAGAGGCCGATCCGGGCTCGAATCGTAAATACATACCGATACTGCGAGATGTTCGAGGCTTGAAAAATATAGCGTCACTACGCAACGTGTAAGCTATATTTTTTTACTAGCCCGAATCCGAAAAGGCCATGAGATATTAAAGCAAATTCATGAAAACGAGCGTGTGTACCTTCTGTCCAGCGATCGAAGCGAAAGGACTTTCGAATTCGAGAACCAATTTGAGCGTTATTGAAACCGCTATAGCTGGCGTGCCTGTCAGAATATTCGAACAAAGTACAAAGCAAACATAATATCGCGCCGATCGAATTGAGCCCACTAGTGTCCGCGGAGCTAATTAAGAAATGCGATAAAGATTCACGGCCGAGCCTGAGACAAGCACCCACTCGAGGCAAAAAATGCGTAACGCGGATGGGTCGCGGTGGCAGAGAGCTGGTCGGAGACACCTTTCGCCCCTTGAAAAATCATTAACGCGGCATGTGCAAGCAGCAGCAGCAGCAGCAGCAGGCACTGCAGCCAGGAGGCTGGAGGGCGGTACGCGACATCTTTCGTCTTTTGGTATTCGTGTCTCGGATCCTTGGAGGACCCTCGGCGCCTTTGAAAGCGAAGTCTCGGCCGGGCATATTGCGGATGCCGTCGAGTATTTATGGTACTTGGGGCATTATTTGTGCGTGGAGGGGTCCGTTATAGGGACGTTGAGTGCATCGCTAATATTGGCATACACTACCGGCGCTTGGCTGAGCACAATTGGAGCGTTGTGTAAGTACAGACTGCAGCCTCATCAATTACGCGTTCAATTAGCAGAACCTGGACCCCCTTCGTCGGAAGTAGGGTGGAGAGAAAGGAGGGACCGTATGACCCAATCCAGTCGCGAAAATCCGTAAGCGTACCCTCGTACCTACTGTAAACGCGATCGTCTCCGATCGATTATCTCGGTACGGTGCAAGACGCTTTCAGCTCTCCTCAAACTCCTCTACCCGTTGGATTTTCACGACGAGCCAATCCAACAGCTTCCGATCCCACGAAATGAGAAAAATAGAGCACGCGCGAACCGAGGTAAATACCAACCGATAATAACCATGGAAGGTACAATAGAAAGAGCAAGAAAAATATTGAGTTGCCGGAAAGATTAACCTCTTCTAAACTCATAAAGCATCGTGCTCCTTCTGAACGCTCATGCCCCACTCTTGATCCGCGTTCAATTTATTATTCTTTCTCCGTGCGGGAGTTCGTATCCCCTTGCACGACTCGGAAATACGCCCATTCATCGTAGACCGTCGAGGGAAGAAACGTTCATGAGTTTATTCGCGCTGTGTCCCGGTGGCTTAAAAATCAAAGGCATACCTAATCCCAAGATCGCGGGGCAACATCGATTACCTACCGTTCTCATTAACCGTGCCCGACTCGGAATGAAAGCAGTCATTTCCGGGCTGGCTGTGCATTTTTGAAAAACCGCGCATCTGGCACGGCCGAACCGGTAATCCGAGAATATTAACCGGGGCCATCGGTAACAATATCCGCGTAGTCGCGGCAATGACTAACTGATCAAACACACCCGGACTACCCTAGACCGCGGCTTCGAGTTTCGAGCTTGCAGCTTCGGACGAGGAGGATATTCTCGAGTCGCGTCGCCCCTCGGTAATATCGGCCGATATAACCGTCTACATACACACGTAAAAACTTCTCCTCTCTTTCCCTGCCGAGTTCCATATTGGTCACGAACCGATCGTACGTGTGCACGCGAGAGACCGCGCGCGTTCTACCTGTCCCACGAAAATTGCCAATATTGGACGAGCCTCGGTCGCGTTTATTATCGCGAGAGACCGAAACCGAAAGTAATTCTTGATATATTGGCCACAGTGTTTCCCCGGTGTCGTGACTCCGATCGGACATTTAATCGCAATTAGTAGAGGATCGTTGCCTCTCTGCCACCGCACCGCATTTCCCGGATGTAGATAGTGGCTTTTTTGGCCCCTGGCGATTTAAACCTGTCTCCTACATGAACCCACATTTTCATTCTTTCTACGCATCGTTTTCCGATATTTTCCTTTGCATTCTTTAGCACCAATTACTGCAATTATTTAAAATTGCGACAAATATTTTACGGCAACTATTTATCTCTCTGTGAGATAGCAAACCAGAGGAAGACATTCTGATCTGCTACCCTTTCCCACTGTCCGAGAGGGACAGGCACAAAAAGTGCAACCTGAAATACCGAGGGCTGGCTTTCTGGAATTTTTATTATTGGTTCCTCCGTGCCTTTGTTACTTTCATTGAAAAGAAGACACGCAGAAAAAAAATACAACCTCGTTGCTTCTAGGGATGAATAGCTACGCATGCACTCCCGGTTCCATCCCCGACCATTTTTTTTTTGTTCGGCTTTCACAAGCGCAACGGTAACCGATAATTTTAATAAAAGTTTGCAGTAAATTGAGTCAAAGGAACCGAACGGACTCCCCGATTCGCGAATTAATGCTGTACCACGGTTATTACGTGCGTGCATGTGCGCGTTGGCCAACTCGAATGCTTTTGAAAAAAACAGAATGAAAATTCCGTCAGCAGCAAGATTGATTTCCAGCGTGCATCACGTGTATGGGACGAATCGTGCCCGAGCAACAAGCCCGTTTACACGAATTTGTCCAGCTCGGTAAAATATGTATGTCTCGCGTGCGACGCTTGATTCCCCTCTTTTGCCATACCGGACGATTTCCACGGTCCACCGGAGCGTTCATCGTATGTACAATTCCAAAAGCGTTTTCCGCTCGGCTTCGTACTTTATCCTCGTAAACCCGAGTTTTCATACAAGACCGTTCCGGGTAATCGTACGAAAGCTTTAAAAGGCAGACCCGCTAGCTTCTACCGTCTTCCGTGTCTCTGGAGAAGCTCCATTCGCGGAACAGTAAATAACGAATAATATAATTTCCTATCGCTATCGCGAGGCGATCGAGGAACAATTCCTTCGAGTTGAACGTGTAACACCGCTTCGATGGGGACTCCGATTGTTTCCCCAAGTCTGAAGTAGCAACAGGTCCCGCGATCGGTATTTAGGAAATAAATATCCCGCGAGCAGACTCGAGACAGTCTCTAATGAATTATTAAAATTTCCACCGCTCCTCGGCTGAATATAATATTCGGCTGAGTGAAATCCTGTTTAAACACGGATGTACATCTATACGTTTACGTACAACGTTTTCTGTAGAAACTGAGTAACGAAATATTCGACTCATTCTTTTTCCACGATATTCTCGGCGCAGAGAGAATAAAGCTGTTGGCGAGGAACGAAGATTCGTTTTCTCGACGCATTTAGTCGGATCCAGATTGTCGACGGGACGGGTACGGCACGACCGGAACATCGCGCATCGTTGTAAATAACTGCTCGAGCACTCAGGTGCACCGCGCGCTGTGTTGGAAGACGCGGTAAGAGTGGTTGAACGTGGTGAAAAAGCGGGACGCGTTATTTTTCGCGTTCGTATCGCGCGTTGTTGTTGCTCGGTACGATGGAAAAATCGTGTTACCGCGTGTACAAGCTAGGAATTTACACGAGGTGGCAAATAAAATGAAATGTGTATTACACTTAAAAAGGTAAACATGTTTTACGCATGCCGCGGCCCGGTTCTTTGCCAGGCGCGGCTCGGAAATATGGAAATGAATAAACAGCGATATACATACAATGGCGCCGCGCTGTGGGCACGCAAGAAGGAAAGGGCGAAGCTTCGCGCCCGGCCATTTCGGTAAGGAGACATTATAACCAGAAGAAAACAACGTTATAAATTAAACGAGAATTTGAAATTTAAACGAGTCCCGGACTGTTTGAATGCCCGCGCGAAAGAAATCGTGCCGCGATGGAAATACGTGTGCTCTAGTTAGTTTCAACGGGCGACCGCATCCGTGAAAAACAGCTTATTCGAATGTGCGACACAATCGATGCAGCGCTGAATCGTACTTATACGCGCTTACCATTAAACTCGGAACGAATTCCATCTCTATTCTATTCGTTCTTAAATCTCGTATCAAATTCAAAGAACTTGTTCTATCGCACCGAGAACAGACGTCGTTCGTAACCCAATTACAACTATTCAGACGGTTACAATTGGACGAAATCGAAGTACATCGAGGGTGCCGTACGGTTACGATGCTCCGATTCTCTCGAATCGCAAAGTGGAGCTCGAATTAGTTCGCGAGCGAAGCCGAGGCAGAGCCAACAAGTGGTTGTGTCTCTAGTTAACTTGCGGAGTCGTTGTCGAAGATAGTTCGAAAAGACACGCTGTCAGTGGGTTAGGTTCGATGGAACGACGAACGCGACTACGGTTCGGGGATTCAGTTTAGAATTTAGAGTATCGATCAAGAGTCGAGTCGGCCGCGGGCCGAAATGGGACGTGCACCGCAACATAAATCTTCCTTTCTAACGGACTTTGCGAATTGTAATATCAATATCTGGCCACTCACCTGTTGCGGTCGGGCCTCGTTCACGGTTGCCGCACTCATGTTTTGCCTCGTTAAGAGCGCCGTGGTTCCACTTCGAGATCAGCCCGAAATTCCATCGAGCTGCGATTCGATGTGATACGAACGGTTGTCGTTTAACTTCTCAGTGACGATGTCAGGAAAATCATGGAACGCCCAGCTCGTTTGTGTTTGTATAGAACGAGGAAGCCTGAAATAGAAGAGCGACGCGTAAATCTTGAACGTTTGCCGTTATTACGGGTGTGTTTTGAAGCGAAAACAGTCGTTTTTCGGACGAAGCCACGTACGCAGAGGGAGAGAACGTCCCTGGACGGGAGACACCGGGACACGGGTGAAAGGAATTTGAACAAACTCTAATTACCAAGCACTATAATTTTCCGTTGAAAGTGGCGGAGCGAAAAATATGCTTCATATTTCGCTTTGCCGCCTCGGTGGCCGTTCTGCATTAACCCACGCGAACATGAACGCGCGCATAATTCTCTCAAAATGTGGCGCACACAAGTTGCCTCTGTCTCGCGACAGTAGAGAAAGGGTCAGGAAGGAAGCAGATAATTTTGAATGAATTGAAGCTCCACAACGAGCGCTCGGCCCCGCGAGCCACCGACACGGATACGCGCGTACTTACACGTGTACACGTCTACCCGCACACTCGCTTCTGTCCAACCTGCCGCCTCGAGGAAAATTACGGATGCGCGTAGCAAAATATAGAAGTGGAACACAAAAGGGGCGGCCTGCATTTAATTATCGTGCGACTGTTGCGAGGCGAGACAAAAAGAGAAAAATCCAACTATGATTCAGTCTATTGGTCGAAGATTCGATTTCAGAAAATCTCTAAACCATGAACGTACAAGGCGTGAAACAGTGATTAACATTCAGTCGCGTCTGAACGCATTAGCCTGGAAACACGTCAGTTCGAGTTATGTCACGACTCGAGGACGTAACTGAACCAAAAGACAGATACGAACGTCTTTGGTGGCGATACACGTTTTGGTCTGTCTTCGATTGAGCGAAAAATTCTCTCGTCGATAGAACCAGGACGGAGGCACACAGGTTTTTTAAGATCAGGCAATCTTCGCGTTGTACCATGAAATTACGCAATTGGTTTAGGACAGCCAGTTTCTGCCGTTCATTCGGCAAGGATTATCCCTCTCAACCATCGGCCGAGGCGTTACACTTATCCAACCGTTTCCGAGAAAGGACGAACCCAGTAAAACGAGATTAAAAGAAACTGTACTTGAAAGTCTTGTATCCGCGATGCTATTTTAAAACCTCTCCTCGAATCACGCCTCTTTCGATAACGATTCGAGCGTGTTTCGAAGGAAACTGTGGCCAAATACTGTATCTATAATATACATATATCTACGTCTGACAACGACATTTTTCTTTCTTTCTTTCTTTCTGTCTACGCCGACGAAACGGAAGAAAATTTTCTAGCAAAGGGGAGCCGGTGTGCGACTCCACTTGGATTTCTTTGAACGAGCAGGAAGAACGGAAGGAAGAATTGTTTGAGTGTACAACCGGGGCCAGGTTAAATATTTAGAAGAGACTTAACATTGTAACTTGCCGGCGACGTTACGAAAACTAGCAGTAGTGTTTGTAAAAACTGCTAGAAAACCGGCCACCTTTTTTTAATGTTATTAATTGTCATAAATGAATAAACGAGCGAATTATTATTATTGCTCGCGGGCTCTGAACGAGTTCCGATACAGTGAGGAATATGTATTTTGTAATACGCTAGCCACCATAGAAAAATAGAAAACGTTTATACAATGACCACGTCGCGTCCGTGATGTCTCTGTTTCTTTTCCCCCTCGGCTGTCTGGAATACCTGGTTTTTCACTGTTTTTGTAAAACAAGTGGGAAAGAAATTCGCATGCTAGGATAACAAAAGCAGGCAACGATAACGCGCACGTCCCGTGTCGCGTTTCATAACATAAGTACGTGGCCTTAAAATGTGATGGAATCAAATAATAGTACGTTTTCATCTCATTAACGTGTTACTTTACCGATGCGAACGCATCATTGCGTCGCAAGCATTGCCTTACGCACTCTATTTCATTATTCGATCTTAATTAATTAACCCGTGTTCGCGATACGGCAAGAAATGAAGGTCCGTATATAATGCGACCCGTCACGCGACCGAACGAATTTCTATGAAGCTTCAATCTGACACACGTTAAAAAGAGACGTTTAATCATTGGCAATCACCGAAACGCGAATATATAATTTGAAACGATATTATTTTTACTTCGTATCCCACCGTGAAACTGGGAAATCTGTCAACGGGGGAGTTGACTGGACGCAATGATTTAATCGATTCGTGATACTCCGTGATTTCGTTTAGTTAGAATCAGCGACGAAATCGATCGAAACGCTATTTTCACGATCGATATTTGGAAAATGTTCATTTTCATTGCATGTTGCGTACACCGCGTGGCTCTTTCAAACGCCGAATAACAATCCTTTTAGTGAGAAAACCGAATTGCGTTGATAAACACGTCCCGCGTCCCTGTATACGTAAACTATCGACCGCGGCTTCTATGAACGCCGCGTCCTATATGCAAACCTCATCGATGAATTCGTCTCTTTATCCTGGAAAAATGGGTCAACGATATTTTTTTTACCAGCTTTATTTTGTTTATTCTTTTCAATTCTGCTTGTTTGCCGCTGTTAGCCGGTAAAAAAGTCTACGCCATTGAATAGACTTGTTAGGCAAACAAAAGTATTTCCTTGCCTTGTGCCATGTGGTTCCATATCTATTATATTGTACTTGTATTCATACTGTATGCGCGCGTAACCATCGCGAGAGCTTCTGTTTCGAATGGAACGATCTCTTATAACGGTGGAACATGTGAAATAGCGAGTATGACTAGCACTTATGCCAGAAACGTAGCCAGAAGAGCCAATAAAACCGGCTCTATGGACTTCGTCACCAGCTGGCAGCGGTGTTTACGCCTACGCGTCCCATAAGACTTCGAACATTGCGTCGAGTCATCAGAAACAGAATGTGTTGTCTATCCAGACGCGGCGTCGCTCCGTAAAAAACAATCGCTTGATAATGTCACGGATAATCTATCTAGTCCGTCCCCCTGTGCACTATATATATCCGTAGGGAATAACGGTCTGATAATAGGAAATCGATTCGCTGCTTTACGGAAGGAACTGACCAACCGTCTTCCTCGTATCTTCTTGTTTGTCACGATCAAGCCGATGTATTAAGTACAAACGACTGCGGGCGAAGGTTTTTTGCCTTTTCATCCCTTCGAGCAAACGTAATATGTACACCGGTCTAGCGACGTACAAACGTAGAAAAATATTTTGCACGGAGTCGTCGTTCGTATTCGGTTTTTTGGTTTTCGCAGGGCGCGCCGAAGTTACAATCCTAAGCACTAGCCGACTCCGCTGGTTGTAAAATCTTTTACGTGCACCGGGACATTGCCACCGATTGGATACGATAAATCGCTCGGCAGGTCGTTACAATGATTCCAACGATAAGCAATAACCGCGGCGATAAATCGCACCCTTGCAGTATACTAACTCTCTCTCGAATGAGAGAGAGAGAGAGCAAGAGAGGGAGAGAAATGAAGGGTACTGGTTCTGAACGTTTTCTCGCTCGCACTCTCTCTTTCTCTCTCGAGAGAGTAAACTGCGAATGGTGGGATACTATGAAATTAGCTGACTTTTTCATTTCCAAGATGAGTGAACGACTCGATCGAGTTCTTCCGGAAAGTTGATAGGAAAAATCAAGATGTCATATAAATTTGAAGGGGATTCATATCGTTCGAATTTATCAGAGTCACGACAGCGCGCGCCTTAGCAATCAAAGAGGCGAAGGTAAAATGCAGCCTGAAAGCCGATTATCCAATCTCCGGGGTGCGTTCCCTGATCGCAATTTTCTCGTAGACGGAGAACGCACCGGGTCCGATCATTACGCTTTATTAATGCTACTATGTCCGCGCGAGTCCCGAGCAACGACCGAGCTGAATCACGGACAAAACCTTAGCGGTCTGTTCTATCTATTCGATACACCGAAGTCAATTAATTTCTTAGGGTGCGCTCTTCATTCCGTGCCGCTCGCCATTATCCCCCTTCTCCCCGTACCCCGGGAATCCGGCTAACTAAGCGAAAATTTGCAACGTCACGCGTTGACGATCCACGAGCGTTCAAAGTCATCTCACGCTCCTAACGAAGCAAATTTTACACCGATTAGATAACGAGTTTTCCAAAGGCCGCGACGTAAAGAGACAGGTACAGGCAACGAACCGAAGGGATTAATCTTTAGTAGTCATTTAGCGCGGAAGTTAGACGAAGTCGAGCGTCCTCGGGCCGTTGCAACTCGGCCTGGACAAACCGAGTTACCCTAAGCTAACAGTAATTCAATCGCATTCAATGGCGGTTACGATGTCGCCGCTGCGAGATTAAAATTCAAGTTGAACTTAACGTCTGCCCGTACTCTTCGAAATTACGGATATCACGTTTGAAAAATCTCACACGCTCAATTTGTCTTTCGGACCGTGCAGAACTTTCTGCAAGAATCTAGGCTAGAGCGAAAACCCGGTGACCTAGTGCGCCCATCGCGCAAACAAATCAGGAGCGAGTTGGCTCCCCGGCCTTGGGGCAACTTCTCTTCGAGGTCTCGACGCCCTTTTCTCGTTCTCGGGACCAGAGGAGGACCGTAATTAGTCCCAGCGTAAATCCCGCCCAGGGCATTCGTCTACCGCCCGTCGGAGCTAGCCTTATCGTTCGCTCGCACTCCGTCAGATCCGCGAGCCGACTTTAAGGGCGCGAAAAAGCATCGGAGGAGACCACCCTAGGAAAGTATCAACGAACGATTTGCGGTGGGGACGAGGATCGAGAGCCAGTCGGAGGGGTGCGCTGCATTTGGGGTCGAGAATAAGGGTGCCACGGGATGGGACGACTAAAGTGATTGCTAAAAGGGGTCAGAGGGAAAATGGTCTACATTGGTTTCATAGAGCGAGCGTGATGGATGACGTTAGATCGATATTACTTCTTGCCACGAGGAGTGGATGTATCTAAAGTACCCTCGATATTTCGGAAACGGTGACGCGACGTACTTCTATGTATGTATACGAGGAACCCGGAATACCGGACATTTTCCATGCCGGACACACGTAAGCGCTCAGACGAGTTCGCGAACTACTCCGTTATTACAGCAGGTCTTATGGTCGG